TTTTGGTTGGGTGGGTTCTATCGCGAATATAAGTCGGAATAAATTTTGTTACACATTCAACTTAAAAAATTTCATGCTATACTTTGGGCTTACGATAAAAAAATCGCGTACATTTTAGCTTAAACATAGGCAAACCCTTTTGTAGTATGTGGTAACACAGTTGTCTACTGTCATGGTAACATGCCAGCAAGTCAGTAATATGCGAGTCCGAAGGTAACGGTCGTTACAACCATACAATACATACGGCAACGAGGAACAAAGTGTAAATCACTGTAAAAAGAACGAAGTTCTGGTGTTACAAGCGATTTTTTAAACTAAACAGTGTCTAACTATATTATTTGGAGTTACCGTTTAAGATTCCTAAACAATTATTTTACTGTGGAATTCCTAAGAAAGATAAATCATTTTTAATACTTTCCTTTTATACCTAATATACCTAATATACCGTTATGACGAATGCGTGATAACGACGTGATATTTCATGCAAGCAGTTGGCTAAATTCTGACCTTTATTTACAAAACAAAAGAATACTAAATCTCTTTATAAATACTAAGTTATTAAATTAGTTCACGGAAGTAGTTCAGTTGTTTCGACTGAATAATTGGACCAAAAACTGAAGTTGCTTTCAGTGAGCATTTACATGACACTAATTTATCTAATCGACCAATATAATCATTCTAATTGACTGAGCGTGTAATTGGAAAGTTTAGGGGATTACTCTGCCTGACTGATCTGACGGCAGTGAAACAATGATAAATTAATATGTCAATTTTAAGTAAAATTAAAATACTTAAAACTAGTTTTCGCCCGCGCCTGCATCCGCGTGGAATTAAAAAAGAAAAGTAACTAGCCTATGTGTTCTTACAGAATATGTTCTACATCTATGCCAAATTTCATCGAGACCCGTTCAGCAGTTTAGTCTACAAACTCTAACAAATATCCATCCATCCAAACTTTCACATTAATAATATTAAAGTAAGAAGTAAGATTAACGATGAAATAAAATTAAAATGATATGGTGACATGGTCAGCCCAACCTTTTGTGTTATTTGCTTTGTAACGTATTGAATACTATAAAAATGTAACTAGTTTGCTTAACATGCTATATACGTAAATATCAGTTGTCACCTGAATTCAAGATAATTTACGAGTTACCGCAGAATTTAACCATTATTTATCGGTACTAAATAAAATTTACAACACCGCGGTTACGTGTAAATTATTGTTATCTACCGATTTTACACTTATTGGTACTATTTTGAGTATCTTTAAAAAGATTTACAAAAAAAGGAAAAAAATCACCAACAAAAATGTCAAAGCTCAATAATATTCTCGAAATTAATTACACAACTGACCATGATGACCATGGCTACTTCAACAAACATCTGTACAACATAAGCGTCTCAGACAGTCCATTGTGCAGAGCGTGCATGGTGGAAGAAACTGCGTTATATAACACTGCCCAGCAGTGACAGAATACAGGGTTAGGTATCTCGTTTTACTGAGATCGCTCCCGGAGATCTCCAGCAATATAAAGGGTTTGCTGGGGTTCTTCAGAGAGCTGGGTTGGCTGGAGTAATCAATGTAATAATGGAGTAATTTTTACGCAAAATACACGCCAGTCGTAGCTGCGGAAACCGTATCCTCTACTACTACTACTACTACACAAATATTTCCATTCCAATGATGCGTATTCAAAGTTCAAGGGAGCCGAATTCTGAATTTTTAATAAACATTAGGCTTTAAGCCATAAACAAAAATATTTAAAATGGTGTCAACGGAGTGTGTCAAGTCGAATGAGGAAGGTTAACCGAAACCAGTGAAAACATACATTTGAAAGTCTCTGATATAAAAGTACTCACGTTTATCAATGAAGCTAAATGTGCCAACGAATCCTGTGGCGTTGTTTTGTTTAGCCTCCGTGTGGAACTCCAGCACCAATGCCTGTCCGGGCGAGTAGAGGGCGGATGGCACCTCAGATCTGCCGCCGCATAGCTCCCTCGCCCACGCCGATCTCTCGTTGATAGCACCGGGAGGGCCAGGTCCTTGCACTTCCCAGTACACTTTCAAATAATCGCCACGAGCACAACTGAAACAATAATTTACATTTAACCACAGTTTAAACCAAAGGTGTCCAAACTTGTTTCGATTAACGCTTTGGTAATTAGTTACTTTGTAGTGCCCATTTGTTTTTTGACTGGAGTTTGATTACACCTATATTTTTAACGAGGCTTCTCTTATTAGACAGAGCAACAGTAATGCAATTTTACAATATTAAGTGCCTGTCCCACCAAAGTGAAAATAGTCTGATAGAAATAGAATTAGAAATAGAAATAATTTTATTGAAAAACAAGAGATTAACTGTTACAATAACAGTTATACCAATAACGATCCAACGTGTAAAATATGTGATGGAAATATCGGATTTTGTCAACTTATCTGAGAGTAACGTCATTTTTAAGCTATCTGAGCCTCTAACCAGTGGTGGGACAGGCCTTAAGAGTATTTAATATTCAAAATTTATTGTTACTAATAACGGCCAAGAATTTGTTTTTGTGCCTCTTGCTGCTCCTCTGTAACCGACCAGTATTACAAGGGGGCATGAGTAAAAATGTCGATTTGTAAAAATCTACAATAAATCCCTATAAATCATTTAACTAGCTTAAACTAACGTTTGACACTGCCTGTAGAGTGGCATTAAAAAAGAAAAGTATTTAATGTAAAATTGACATCAATGCACACACCTCTTCAATTTAATATAGCAAAGTTATGGCATTACTAAAATGCTGTATTGACGTTAACACGATTACCTCAGTGGCAGAGGTAATCTCGGCGTCTAGCAAACGGCTAAAAGCGCAATATTTTAAAATGAACAAGCATTAGTGTCACGCGACGATGGTTTATTGAATGTCGAGTGCGAAAAGATGCTTTAGTGGCTTCATTTTATAAAATAATGTCTTGAACAATGTTTTAACAAAACGTTTGTAAGTCGAAGTAGGCTCGTTGACAATGTCGTTAAATGTTTTATATTCGGTGGGAATGTAAGAAATTTCTCTTATGTAGATATCCAAGTATAAAATTACATTTATTGGTATGTGATTGTTGCTTAAATGTAGCTTTTAATTGAAAATCTATAATCAGTCAAATTGCTATGAGTTAAAAACGTAAGAGATGCTATCGTAAAAATTTATTTCATTTCAAATTAGATCATTTATTCAGTGTTATTACGATCGTAAAAGCGTTATTGGTAATTTGACAAGTCGTTGAGCGAAATCCAAATACGCCAAGAATATTGTCTCGAATCATTTTACTTGATTTCACGCTCTCAGCGGGAAAATTTAAAATTGCCTTCTTTTATTACGTGCTTTATGCAATCTTTTACGTCTTCCGATTCTGACGGAGAACTACGGTATTTGAACTCTAGCATTCAATAAACTTTCGCAGTTTAAACTTTTGGCTCCTGTGTTTTAAATCTGCTATAAATTTCTTTAACTAAACAAATATTAACTTTAAAAATATAGAATCAAATGTAATTAATTATATGATTTTGTTTTGATTCTGTTTTGTTTTAACAAAGAATTTCTGACGATACATTTGAGGTATATAAGAAACTGAAAGTAAACTTTGATCCGTTGATTTTTTCAAAGACTACTAATAATACTAAATTAATACTATTGTCGCCACAATTTCCAGTTAACATTGCAGAATAATAGATACGGATACTGTATAGATTTTGTTAATTAAATGAGACGGTCATCGATGTCACACTTGTACTCATGACAAGCTTAGTGACAATATATCTCTCGCAAAATATCATATTGCGTTATTACTAAAAATTATAATCCAACGTAGTCTCAGTATTACAAGTATATTTCAATAGTAGTAGTCCATTGCCTTTATTGCAAAATAAATGCGAAATACAACCAATAAACTCATTTATCAAAATCAACACGCTATTAAATTCTCAATTTCCGAAGCACAACGTTTACAAATAGTTGCTTGTGCGTATTATCGTTCAATTTCCGACATAGTTTGAGCGTTTGTATACCATTGATACTATTTTGCGTAAAGTTAAAAAACTCTCTTTAACCATCGCACTATCATTCAATTACTTTATATGTATCATAATACTAACAACCACTACACTCAAAAAGTTGAAGAATACTAACAACCACCATACTCAAAAAGTTTAAGAATACTAACAACCACCGTACTCAGAAAAGTTGAATGCCCTATAGTACATATTTATTATAAGAAATTTATATTAAATAGCTGTTTAAGTAACCAAAAGATGATATTAAGAATCTGTATATGGAAGTACCATTTTCTGGAAGCAATTTTAAGAAGCGCCGGGTTCTAAATAAAATGAAGATGAAATATCTAATTTGTACATCATGAAAATTTCTCTTACATCGAGAAAAAAATGAAGCGTAATTTTATCTCGACGAAATAAGCGTGAAATTGTGATCGAGGAGACACCTTTAAAAATCCCAGGAGACTATCATTTCTTTAAGATTAATCCGGATTTCGGATTTCGATAAAAGCAACCTGTCACCGCTAATGCGATTGATGGTCGAATTTGATTTGAGCTCGACATCCAGCCCACTCTAAGTTCTTAAGGAAAGCTTTTAAAAGTTATTGCTCGTGTTTTCTTTGTATTATGATATAGACCTTAAATATTGAAATGTGCCTAATAAGTAAAACCATACCATTGTCTTCATTCTTTACATACTTCATGACTGTCGTGGATTATCAGATTTCCTTGTACCCCTACCTCAAATGCTCGCGTATTTTCTCAAGGAACATATTGAAATATTTAATATCAGTCGTTGTTAAGTTATTCCATTTACTTTTAGTTGGATTTTATTTAACTTAAATAAGTTAAAGTGTAGGACATAATTAATAAAATAATATGCTATAAGCACTTCAAGCACTCATAAAGAGTTTCAATTGCGAGTGCAATTAATTATATGAATTATTCATAATGAGTATTTAATGACTGTGTAATTTCCATTTAGCTCTAACAAATATCATTCGGTCGTATTTAATTAATATTTTAAAGCTGCTATTACTGTGTTACGTGAAATAAAATGTTAACCTAAAATTTAATTTGCTTTTTCACCTGCTGTTTTAACCTAAGTTGCAGTCGTTTTATAAATCACCCAATTTGTAATTTGACTGAGACATATTTGAATTAAATAGTTTTGGTGTTCAGTAAATTGAATTGGGAACATTTGTACCTATTTTTTTAATTTCAAAGGTTGCATAAAAGTAAAGTGATTCTACAAAAAATAAATTATAACACACGCAGCAAAATGCGACTCATTTTAATCTATTCAGAGGTGTAACGCACGCACTTCTACGCACTTCATGGGGCCCGCCGTCTATAACCAGCTGCCGGACCACGTAACAGCGGCTACCAGCCCCGCGTCATTTAAAAATAAACTTAAGTCATGGCTAATACAAAAAGCCTTCTATAGTCGAAGAATTTTTCCTACCATGATTGTTTTATATGCACAATTTTCATTCAGAATATCTGTAATGGTTTTTTTTTTTTAATTTTTAAACATCATGACTTGTAATTTGCTTACCAATGAAATATGTGTACTTGTATTTGTATTTAAGAAAAGACTAATGAAATGGGTGTGAGACAGAAGACCCTCTTGCATGCTAGTAAAAACTAACATTACACTAACACATCTAGTCTTCTACTTAATCGTTAAAAATTTACTGGCTTGTGATTTATGCCAGTGGCTGGTACATTCCAGTCGTTGGCATACCAGCTACTAGTATATGTACCTTAATATCTTTCAATTACGTAGATAAAAATAAAGTTGTTCGATTTTTTGTTAGAAAAGCAATGCGACATGTAGCTCGAAATTGGATACCCGTGCAACCGAGATTTCGCTTATAAAGTATCGACACCAAGAAATTGAAGTTTGTTCCGATCGAGAATTGTTTGCAGTCAATGCATATTAATGAGTAGCGCAGTCACAAAGTCACTGTTCAGCCGTGCTATTGGAATTCCGAGATTATACTCCCACCCAAATGAAGATGAGGACTGTTTTGTTAAATGGCTAACTTCGATTTAGCTCGAGTCATCTACTTTTAAACGAAAATGTGCCGCGCTGTGATGCGCTTGCGACTATCTTGCCGCTTTATTTCGAGGTTTTTGGGAATTTGTTCATATACCATGGAATTTTTGCGATGGATAGGCAATAGAAATCCAAAGCCCTTATTCGCAAGAGCGCTTTTTTATCATGCGTAAAAAAAACGTTGATATGAAACAAATGCACATTTATTTATTTGTGTATATGGCAGCGTTTTTAAAGAGAAAAGCTTTTTTATGGGCAAACGAAACAAGAGTGGTTATAATGTGTACATATTATCGAAAGAGTTAAAATGCGCCAACGGAGAGCGTTAAAAATGCGCCCGTGTGAATATGGACTCAAAGTCGTTTGACATGGCGTGTGTTAAAAACTGATCGTATATTAAATTGACATTATGACTTCAATGGATGCTTTTGTTTATATTTTAGAAGTTTGATGACTATTTTTATCAAAAATGTCATTTAACCGGGGATGATATTTTAAACGTTACAAATGGCCTTTAGAAAATATTTTGTTAAACAGCTGACTTTTCATCACATATTTTAACTATTATGTGTATAACTAACATTAAAACGATCATTTATGTCATTTATTTGACAATTACCATAAAAAAAAACTATACGATATTATTCACTGCGATATATTTTATTCGTTTATTTTAAAACCGACACAACATTGTTATAGCCGAAAGTTTTTCCACATTAAATAAACAAAATTATTTGCTAAAAGCTGTTTAAAACAGATTGAAGTTTCATTTCAGAGGATAACAAATTGGATTTATGTCTGCGGATAGCATTTATATTTCGCGGGTACAAAATATACGAGAAAAAAATGTTGTTCTGAATTACGAATTTTAAAAGTAGTAGCAAGTAAAGTAAGACAGAACTGAAACGAAGCTTCGTTTTTTACAACAAAATTTATTTATGTAAAACTAGCTTTCGCCTGCGACTCCTACCATTGGAATTAAAAAAATAATATG